TGTGTGTGTGTGTGTGTGTGTGTGTGTGTGTGTGTGTACAGGGTTGAGTGTGTTTACAAACTAACTGTGCGAACGAGTGTTTCCTCAGTCTGTCGGTGGCCTTCGATGTTCTAATCATCAGTCGCAAACTGGGCTCGGATCGGCCCCGATCCTCAAGCCAGCCGTCCTCGTCGGGAAATGATTGTATTTACTTCTAGACTGCCTTCATGTCTGGTTTTTGCACTGTTCTGTAAGGAGTATTTTTTTCGTCAAACAGCATTGAAGCGGTTACTGAATAAAAGTTCCCTTTTCAGATTTGTTGGTTCTTGTTTGCTTTTTAGTCCGTTTCCAGTGTGTTGGTAAAGATTTATTAGTGAATAAGAAAACTGACACAAACAGCACATAATAAATGTACTAAAATGTATATATTTTATTATGTAATAAAAATACAATATTGTTTACAAAATAAAACCAGAAAGTTACAGAACTGTCGTCAGAAGATATTTATTTCTGCTAAAATATACGGGATATTTCAAAAACAAGTGCGATTATTAAAAAAAAACTGGCTAAAGCACAAATTGAAGCTGCTGTTATGCACTCTAAAAAACAGATGTTGGATTTATTTAACCATGTTATGTCACCTGGTTCTATTTAACTGAGTTGAGTAAATTCAAAGCGACATACTCGTTCTTTGGTTAGAAAATGGGTATATTGCTTTGTATTCACTCAACTCAAGTTAAGTGGAACCAGTTGACATGACATGGTTAAGTAAATCCAACATTTCATTTCTTTGAGTGTGGAGATCAACCTGGTTTTCAAAGTGTGATTGTACGACACGAGGCTCGAGTATCCCTGAAGGTCTTTGTAAACATCACAACATGCCAGTCTTTAGAGTCCCCCCCCCCCCGAGGATCCTCAGTAACGATAGACTCTGATCTGGTTGCTGTCGTCCAAACCCAGCTGGAGCAGGCTGCTCTTGGTGGGCGGAGCTTGGTAGCGGGTGAACAGAGGTCTGGAGGGGCGGAGTTAAAGACAAACGCCTGAAGGAAGAGCTTCAACACAACACGTGGTGACATGAAAAGGTCCGAGGTTACCCGAGAGGTGGAGGGAACGAGAAGGATACATGCTGGTGTCTTTCTTGCGTAAGTCCAGCCACCTCTTGTTGCCGTCAATCAGACCCTGCAGCCTCCGGCCGTCCACCTCCACTGATCTCTGCATCTCCCTCAGGCTGCGTGTGTGACACACACACACACACACACACTTTAAGGCTTTGTGTTCAAACATTTAAAGCAGAGGTTACTAATTATCCAACACTGATTACAGGCTGTCCTACCTGACAGGAGTGTATGACGGGTGGACTGAGGGGGTCCTCGTGGTGCTGGAAGTGACAGGATCAACAGCTGATCCTGGACAACATAAGAACAGCTCAAAACTACAAAGTAAGACTGAATAAATACAAACGCCGGTGCTGTACTAATCCTGACATACCGGGGAATATTTGGCTCCATCTACTGTTAATGAGGACCTCGGAGGCTCCCGGGCGGCTGAAGAGAGGCGAGGCCGCCGAGCTGCTCTGAGGCACAAAGCTCCAGAGAGGCTCCGAGAGCCCCGCAGTCAGAGGAGGCACTGAGGAGCCGGAGAGCCAGCCGCGAGCCTGGGGGAGAACTGGCGCACAGGTGGGAGCGAGGCTGGGCTGAGGCAGAGATGTGGAGAATGGGGCGTATGGTGTGCCGTTCTCCCTCGGGGCCAGAGAACCCAGGGCGCTCAGGACCGCGTTGAGCTGGCCTGAGATCTGCTGCAGGGACTCCGCTAACTCCTGGACTTTGGCCGGGACAGAGGGATGACCTCCTGATGGGAGAGGGAGAAAAGAGACGGGGTGGAGAACCACCACTGACCATCAGCTGGACCCTTTACAGTTGCCTTTAGGTCAAATGTCTCAAAACTGCCAAAAAAAAAAAAAAAAACCACCAGCAAACCTCTGACATCCAGGAACAGAGAGGCACAGATTTCTAGTGCATCTAAACAACATCAGCAATACATCGAAAAAGGAGATTTTATTTCCAAACTTGGGAAAAAAAAGTATTTCCTGAAAAATGCTCTGAGCTTATTATTAATTTTTAGTTGAAAGCTGTCGAAGAAGCTTAAAATAAGCTGAAATAGCCAAATAGTTCTGAACAGTTGGGGATGTGGCGGCCATCTTGAGTGGGGCTGACTCCAAAAGTTGATGAGTTGCAGACGTGCATTTAATACCTGAAAGTTTCAATAAAATCATCTAGTGGTTCATGAGATATTTTGCTAACAGTTCATTTATAAAGCAGAATAAAAACTGCTGAAAAAACTAATGTAGCAAAAGAGAAAACAAAATTAGAATCTTTTATTTGAATTAATACAATACACTTCTTTATTTTTAGATTTAAATATCACTTATATATACTATATACTTACTGTATATATATATATATATATATATATATATACAAGGAATTACAGTAGTCCAGTCCAGCCTAGATGTAATAAATGCATGGATCAGGTTTTCTGCACCACTTTTGTTCTTGTGGATTCACTGTCCCATGTGTGGTCCACAAAGGTGGTGTGTTTGGATTGGTGCCGACCTGGGGGGCCATATTGTGTCTCATTTCTGCCTCACCTCAGATGACCGTCATGTGAACATATGGTGATGCTGAGTCGACACTAATCTTGTTACTGTAGTAGGGAGACACACCAGCTTCACTCTTCCATTTGTTCATCATGAGACAGGTGATGTTTATTAGTGTCTATGTGGTGTTTTAAACGAATGCCTGAGCATGACAGAAACAATCCTTTGACATATGTTCATGTTATGCTGAGCTACATCTCATTCTGGTTTGATAAAGGAAAATTAAGTCTTGAACAATTTCTGGTTTAAATTTAAAACAAAATGATGCGACTGTGCCACCTGCTGACAAACCTGATACCTGCAGTTTACATAAAGCAAACTGTAGGGCTGTTTTTGGCCTTAGAATATCAGCAAAATCAGATATTGGTATTTTTCTATCTACCATTAATATTTGTTGTCTCCTCAGGAACATTGCTACTATCGCTGTGTTTTATGCGCTGCCAGTCATCCAGCTGGTCATCACCTATCAGACGGTACGATGACAAAAAACTGTCAGTCATGGGATGTAAATAGTTTTAGTTAAAAATAGTTCCTTAGAGCTTTCAACACACTCAGAAAAAAATGTGAATTTCTGCTTTTCAGGTTGTTAATGTCACCGGGAATCAGGACATCTGCTACTACAACTTCCTGTGTGCCCACCCACTGGGAGCTCTGAGGTGGGTTTTACCCATCAAGTGTTTTAGGCCCTGTCTACTCTACAGTTTACAGTGTCTTGCAAAAGTATTCAGCCCCCTTAAACTTTTCAAGCTTTTGCCACATTTCTGGCTTCAAACATAAAGATATAAAATTGTAATTTTTTGTGAAGAATCCACAAACAGTGGGACACAATCGTGAAGTAGAATGAAATTTATTGGATATTTTAAACTTTTTAACAAATAAAAACTGAAAAGTGGGACATGCAATATTATTCGACCCCCTTTACTTTCAGAGCAGCAAACTCACTCCAGAAGTTCAGTGAGAACCTCTGAATGATCCAGTGTTGTCCTAAATGACTGATGGTGATAAAATATAATCATCTGTGTATAAAGTCTCTATAAATGCACCTGCTCTGTGAAAGTCTCAGGGTTCGGTTTAAAGCACAGAAAGCATCATGAAGACCAAGGAACACACCAGGCAGGTCTGAGATACAGTACTGTTGTGAAGAAGTTTAAAGCCAGATTTGGATACAACAAGATTTCCCAAGCTTTAAACATCTCACTGTGCAAGTGATCTTATTGAAACAGAAGGAGTATCAGACCACTGCAAATCTACCAAGACCCGGCCGTCCCTCTAAACTTTCATCTCAAACAAGGAGAAGACTGATCAGAGATGCAGCCAAGAGACCCATGATCACTCTGCAGAGATCTACATCTGAGGTGGGAGAGTCTGTCCATAGGACAACAATCAGTCGTACACGGAACAAATCTGGCCTTTATGGAAGAGTGGCAAGAAGAAAACCATTTCTCAAAGATATCCATAAAAAGTCTTGTTTAAAATTTGCCAAAGCCACCTGGGAGACAAACCAAATGTGGAAGAAGCTACTCTGGTCAGCTGAAACCAAAATCAAACTTTTTGGCCACAGTGCAAAACGATATATTTGGCGTAAAAGCAACACAGCTTTTTGCACCTGCTCTGTGAAATCACCTGATCTGGTCTGCACAAATCTGGTGCAGACCAGATTTGTTCCGTGTACATCACCCTGAACACAGCATCCCCATTGTTAAACATGGTGGTGGCAGCATCATGGTTTGGGCCTGCTTTTCTTCAACAGGGACAGGGAAGATGGTTAAAACTGATGGGAAGAGGGATGGAGCCAAATACAGAACCATTCTGGAAGAAAACCTGTTGGAGTCTGCAAAAGACCTGAGACTGGGTCGGAGATTTATCTTCCAACAAGACACTGCGTCTCATGCAAGAACCTGTTCATATTCTTATCCTAAATTTCTCTTACTTTTGTTCGTATGAAGGGTTCGTACGAACATGCCACATCAGGTTCAACAAAGTCATCTATCTTCAGGAAAAGTGTGTAAATGAGCTGCGTAAACATGGTGAATGTGTATCATGTGCTCATGCGGAGGAGAGGAGATTAGCATAATCTACCACCCTAAAAACACCATATAAGGTAACGTTTCCTGCCCCACATACCAGGAAGTGTCCATTCATATATGACATCACAAAGGAAAAAGAAGAACTTTACGAGTTCAGAGATTGAAGTCTTGCTCTCAGAGATCCAGAAAAGAAAACTCTGTCATTTTCATCAGCGTCAGCTGTGGAATTAAAGGAGCTGCTAAAGCCGAGGAATGAAATAACTACTGCTGTTAATGTTGTGTCTCCTGTGGATCATATACAGTCACAGAAATAAAAATCTAAATCATATTCATCTCTCTCTGCTCCGGTTTTCCTTTGGTCAAATATTTTTTAGTTTAAGTGTAAACAACTGTGTAGTTTTCAGTTATTCAGAAGAAGAGCAGTCGTGCACCGCTACTACTACAAATCTGTTCGTATGAACGGTTCTTGCATGGAGGCCCATTGATCCAAAACATAAAGCAAAATCTACAATGGAATGGTTCACAAATAAACTTATCCAGGTGTTAGAATGGCCAAGTCAAAGTCCAGACCTGAATCTTTGGAAAGAGCTGAAATCTGCTGTTCACAAATGCTCTCTGTCCAACCTCACTGAGCTCGAGCAGTTTTACAAGGAAGAGTGAACAAGAATTTCAGTCTCTTTGTGCAAAACTGATGGAGACAAACCCCAAGTGACCTGCAGCTGCAACTGCAGCAAAAGTGGCGTTACAAAGAATTAACACAAGGGGACCAAATAATTTTGCACGCTCAATTTTTCAGTTTTTTTATTTGTTAAAATTTTTTAAAATATCCAATAAATTTTGTTCCACTTCACGATTGTGTTCCACTTGCTGTTGATTCTTCACAGAAAATTACAATTTTATATCTTTATGTTTGAAGCCTGAAATGTGGCAAAAGGTTGAAAAGTTCAATGGGGCTGAATACTTCTGCAAGGCACTGTAATTGACCACAGATGTGAGTACATCTTGTTGTATTTTCTGTGTTTTTCTGCGCAGTGCGTTCAACAATATCCTCAGTAACCTTGGTTACGTGATGCTGGGATTCCTCTTCCTCCTCATTGTCCTTAAGAGAGACCTCGACCACAAACGAGCCCTGGTTCGCAACGAGCTCAATGCTCTGGTGAGACACACCAGGTTTTTCTTCATCCATGACTTGTGCTCTGACTTCTGTCACTTTATTGAAATGTCCTTTTTTCTTTTTCCCCTCTGCAGGAGTGTGGTATCCCAAAGCATTTTGGTGTGTATTATGCCATGGGGACCGCTCTGATGATGGAGGGGCTGCTCAGTGCCTGCTACCATGTCTGTCCCAACTATACCAACTTTCAGTTTGGTGAGACTTCAGGCTTCTTTTTCCACTCATACTGCAGCTCAGCAGTGTTTAAATCAGATCCCTTCACTGCTCCGTCTGGGATTTCTCCCACAGATAAGGATTTCTTCAGGAGCATTTCATTCGGGCCAATCAGAGAACAGAAGGCGGAGTTTTGAACAACAGCATCGATTTTCTGCGCAGTGTCTGCTAGTTATTTTAGCATACGGCAGTGGAGGAAGTGAATGAAGCCAGTCCATGTTGATAAGGCTTTCAAATTGAATTAAATTTGTCTGACAAAGCAGCAGCTCTCATTTACAGTCGTCTCGTT